ATTGTCAGTGTGAAAGGCAGTGTGTATGACAAGATCCCAGACTATGTAATGTCCAGTGCTGATGGTCAATCTTATTCCTTAAAGGCATGAGAGTTTGTCCATTTGCTGTTTGCTGATATTTCTCAGTACAGAAAATTAGTGCTGCATCCTCAGCCAATTAAACTCATCTCAGTTCATCAAAATGGCATGTTTTGTAATGCTTGTCGTCTCCATTAGATGGTGCTACAGACAAAGCCATGATCCCATAACCACCACGTGTCTATCGGTGTCAGTCCCATTTAGTAGGAATCTGAATCCTGAATTTTCCCAGTGCCCGTGGACGTAGCATCAGAAGTATTAGGGTGATGAAAATTCTCAAAAGGGAAAGCGTCAGATCATCTCCCTTATGTGTTCCCACCTCCGTGCAATTTTACTAAAAGCAACCACAACCTTAAAAAATCATAACTGGAGATAGAAAACATAACAGTAAGTTAGTGTGTTCACAGTCTAACAATGAACATGTAGATTAAGAGAACACGAATAAAATATTAAACATCCTCAACCGGAGTATAATGACTTTTTCCACAATTCTACATTTTCCCTGTATTAAATATGATTTCAATACCTCTTTTTGAAAGTTACTGTTGAATCTGCGTCCATTTCCCTCCAAGCCAGCCTGTTCCATATCACAATCACTCACTGCATGAGTGGGTGGAAAGTAAAATCTCCTTATCTCCTTTCTGGTTTCTTTTCCAATTACCGTTTACAGGTGGAAACGGTTTCTCTGCTGTGTCCCAGCAAAACTTTTCATAATTTGTAATACCTCAGTTAAAGCATCAAAGACATGTTTTAGTAATGTGTTAAAGAGGAATGTTTCCCTTTAGCATTCCCAAGAGGTAGCAGGTGCGGTGGAAGTCCCACAACAGAGCGGGTGGGGGGAGTGTAATCTTTGAATGAAAGTGAACCGCACGTTTTTAAATCATGGGAAATCACTACTGGCACCCAGCTCTTAAATGCATTCCATGTCCAATGTACACACACAAACTGGGCTGAAAAATATTAACAGTGAGTTATGGTCAATTGATACAGAGATGGGTCAGCCTGGGTGAAGGTAAGGAATGACGGATGTAGTATTAATGACTTGCGGCTCTGACAGAGCGCATGGTGCATAAAACCCCTGATGTCGTTTATGAGAGGGGGGGAAAGTTTGACTCTCCAGTGTCAGGGAGACTGCAACCCCCTGGCTGGGAAACGAAACCAAAAAATGCTGGACCACCGTCAGCAGATCTGGCATTGCCCGGAGTTTACGTTTCAGAACCCCTCGCGATTTCACATTTACTGTGCGGCTGAAGTTTCAGCGCTCGGCGCAATCAGCTCAGCAAGCAACCAGCATCTGTGCTCTGAGTGAATCCTAACGCTGTAGGGCACAGGAGGCTTGTGGCGCCCCAATCGTATCCCCGTCTCTGGGCCAGAACTGTGGGAGTTATGTCCCACCAGCCCTGAAGATGTGCCTGTAACATGTCTCTATAGGTAGGTTAAACATTGACTTGAGAACACAATGTAAAAATACAGACTATGACCAACATTTTGTCACTCTCTTTCTCATTTCCCTGAAATTTACCACCAACCCAAGGACTTCAGAGCATTAATTGAAGGTTTTCTGAAAGTCAGTGTTCATCTCTCTCTAGCGAGCATCAACATACGTCCTTATCGCGCAATTAATGTGCTGAGACCGTGTCTTGCCGCTTTCTAGCTAGGCATAAATATGGAATCGCGTTCCCTGGGAAACAAACAGGAGTTTTTTTTCGTTCATTTTGAGGGATGTGGGCGTCACTGTCTGGGCCAGCATTTCTTGCCCGTCCCTAGTTGCCCTTGAGAAGGTGGCGGTGAGCTGCTTGAACCGCTGCAGTCCACCTGCTGTGGGTTGACCCACAATGCCATTAGGGAGGGAATTCCAGGATTTTGACCCAACCATAGTGAGGAAACAACGATATATTTCCAAGTCAGGATGGTGAGTGACTTGGAGAGGAACTTGGAGGTGGTGGTATTCCCATATATCTGCTGCCCTTGTCCTTCTAGATGGAAGTGGTTGTGGGTTTGGAAGGTGCTGTCTGAGGATATTTAGTGAATTTCTGCAGTGCATCTTGTAGATGGTGCACACTGCTGTTGGTGGTGGAGGGAGTGGATGCTTGTGGATGTAGTGCCAATCAAGCGGGCTGCTTTATGGTGGATGGTGTCAAGCTCCTTGAGTGTTGTTGGGGCTTCACTCATCCAGGCAAGTGGGGAGTATTCCATCACACTTCTGACTTGTGCCTTGTAGGTGGCTTTGGGGAATCAGGAGGTGAGTTACTTGCCGCAGTATTCCTAACCTCTGGCCTGCTCTTGTAGCCACTATGTTTATGTGGTGAGTCCAGCTGCATTTCTAATCAATGATAACCCCCAGGATGTTAATAATGGGGGATTCAGTGATAGTAACATCATTGAATGTCAAGGGTCAGTGGTTAGATTGTCTCTTCAGGTGATTCTTAGGAGTCACCTCAGTAAGCTGTTTCTAACACAAAGTCTCCATCTCTGTGAGGAAACAACATTCACTCTGAGGTCATTTCCACTAATAATGACTTCTGATTTATAATCTGCTGATCTAACGTGATATTCACAGTTTCTTGTTTCTTGTGCATGCACAATGGAGAGGAGCCAGCCTTTTATGGGTGTGGAAGCAAAGAGGGAGACAGAGTGGAAGTTGGGGGGTGGGGTTGGGGTTTGAGAGATAAAGTGGAAATAGGGAATGCCTAAAAACATAATGCCTGAAAGTGTTTAAGAATAAAGTGCACCTCATTCACTTCATCCTGAGGCTGTGCTACAGAGCAAGGTTTAGTTAGCTCAGTTAGCTGTAAGGTTGGTTTGCAATGCAGTGTAACTGCAACAGCGTGGGTTCAGCTCCTGCACTGGCTGAGGTTACCATGAAGGACTCTCCTTCTTAACCTCTCCCCTGGCCTGAGGAATGGTGTCCCTCAGGTTAAACCATCATCAGTGGTCTCTCCCTAACAGGAGAGCAGCCCTATCATCTGTTGGGACCTTGGTGACTTAACCTTAACACATGGGCTTTGGAAGTTGATAAATGTGGAACTGAAAAAGCACAGCAAGTCAACCAGCATCCAAGGAACAGGGAAGTCAATGTTTCGGCTGAAACCCTTAGTCAGGACTAGGGAGGGGGAGGGGAGTCCAGAAATAAATAGAAGGATGGGGGTGGGGCTTGGGGGGAGATGGTGATAGATGAACGCAGGTAGAGGGTTATCGTGGTTTCTCAGTGGGAAGGTTGGAGCAGATAGGTGAGTGGGAAGTGAGTGTAAACTTCCAAGGCAAAATATGAGGTGTTGTTCCTCCAGTTTACATTTGGCCTCACTCTGACAGTCGAGGAGGCCAAGGATGGACATGTCACTAGGGGAGTGGGAGGGGGTTTTAAAGTGGATGACAACTGGAAGGTCGGGTTGGTTGCAGAGCACAGATGATCTGCAAAATTGGTCCCCAAGTCTGCATTTGGTCTGCCCGATATAGAGGACACCACATCCTGACAAAGGGTTTCACCTGAAACATCAACTTCCCTTCTCAGATGCTGTCTGACCTGCTGTGCTTTTCCAGCTCCACATTTATTGACTCTAGCTTCCAGCATCTGCAGTCCTTTCTGTCTCCAGGGCTTTGGGAGTTGACAGTGTCAAATTCAGTCCTGTAATTCTCACAGTGAGAATGGCCAGGGGAGCTCAACTCAGCCTTTTATATGCATCTCGAACCTTTTCCTCCCTAAAGAAAAGCTGCTGGGGCTAGGCAGATCCAAACTGAGAGTTTCTGTTGGGTTAAAGGGATTGAGTCAAGTAAAACCAAAACCGGCAGATAGAGTTAACCAGCTACGATCTGGTTGACTAGCAGGAACAGATACAAGGGGCTGAATGGCCTCTCCTGCTCTCACATTCAGACAGCACCAAGTTTACTTGAAGTAAGGATGAATGATGAACAGCTGAATTTGTTGTTTGAAAATGGATTTAATTTCTGGCTCTGCCCCTCTCCCAGGTCGCTGTGGTGTAGGGGATTATCTCTGCTGAAGGCAATCGGGAATTGATGCATTTTAAACCGGGCCCCTCTTTCCCCCTCTTATTCGCCACACACACTGCTGCCCAGTTTCTGAAACCCAAAACCTACCCATTATCCACAGAAAGCTGAAAACAAGCAAAGTCCCCATTTGGAAGGGAGAGGGGTAGAGGGCTCACGAACATAGGGCTGTGTAAGTCCCAGTTCCATTCATTCCTGTGTGTGCTGAAGTGATTTAATCTCTATCCCTGTGACTGCAGGTATAGTTTAGCAACGTTAACTCCGGAGCTGCTGTGGGGTAGGGGATGGTAATCTGCTCCATTTACCTCTCCCTCTATCCCCATTTTCTTCCAGGCTCTAGACTTCAACGCATGCTCACAGAAACCCTGGTGAAAGGCGTCCAGAGGATGCACGGACAAAAAACAAAATCACAGACTTTTTTTTGTTATTAACGTATTGAGATTCCCAGTTTCAGGATTGGATTCGATCTCCAACACACCGCAGAAGATTATGTCATCTTCCAAATGGGACACATTTGCTCATTACATTGTTTGTTATTTGCTGGTAAGTTTTTTTTAAAAAAAAAATATTTGATTTGAACAGTGCATTTATAAAGACATAGCTCGGTACTGGAATACGCCAATATATGCGTTCCAGATATTCTGCGCATAATAATATGTGAATACAACTTAGAAACCACCTGGAGTATAAAACAGACTCTAGTCGTTGAAATTTGGAGAAACAAAATTTGGGAAAAGAATTCTGAAAGGAGGAAGGAAATATCCCACAATAATAAATGTTTTAAGGCAAGCATGTTCTTCAGAATAGATTCCAGTTGATATCAGGGAAATTTTCAATTCAGTGTATACAGGAGGTCACCCTTGAATAGGGGTGACAACTGGTTTGTCTCTAATTGTTCCCATATATTTGCAAAGGCGATGCTAACAAGAAGCACGAGGGAGTGGCATGACCTGGACAATACAGACTATGATTGCTGGCCTTTGGAAAACCCGCATGAATACAACATGATCGACTGTGGAGGTGAGTGTTTGGTTTTTCCCCCATTTGTTAACAAGCCAACGTTAGTACTACAGAGCGGTTTCAGGAAGAGACCATTCGGCCTGAGGTGGGGCAGTATTTTAAACTGAGTGGCACGGTTGATGTCTGTTCGATTGGCTTGCCATCCATAGTTGTATCAGTTGCCGTTTGTCAGCAACAGGTGATGTTAAAGACCCGTAGTTTGTGGATGATCGGAACATTGAGTGGTTGGGATAGACACATTCCGCAGAGAAGCATTTGTGGAAATGGATTTGAAGAGATTTGCAACGCTGAGCTTATAACCTACCCTCGTCGAGAGCAGCGGCTTGTAATTGAGTCTAACACACCAGCCTAGTCTGCCCAAGTCCTGGCTGCAATCGGTCAGAGAGCCTACAGGACGGCATCAATAGAGGAACTAAAAACCTGAAACACACAAAAAATCTGCGGGGTGCTGGAAATCAGAAATTACTGGAAAAACTCAGCAGGATCTGGCTGTGGAGAGAAAGCAGAGTTGACGTTTCGGGTCCAGTGACCCTTCAGAATTGATTGTAGCTGGAAGAAAGGTTGATTATGTATGCTGAAGGGGACTAAACGATAGGGACTCAGAGAGAGAGAAACAATTGGGAGACAGAGGAATGGGTAAAGGTTAGCATTGGAGAATGAATAGTTGATAAATGGGGACCGTTAGTAACTGACTATGGGTTGTTTGTGGTAGCAGTCCGTATGATGACAAGGCCTAGAGCGTGGAGATTGAGGGACAACATGGGAGAAGGTGCTCAGGCCCTTCAGGTCACTGGACTGTAAATGTTAATTCTGTTTTCTCTCCACAAATGCTGCCAGACCTACTAATTTGTATGCAACAATTTCTGATTTTGTTTCTCAATAGAGGAACTGTCTGGCAAAACTGAACACATAGCTGTTAGTTTGAATAGTGTCTGCCTCTAGCAATGACAGGATGTAGGACAATCTGAAGACCAGTAGTCCCTGGGCTGTCTCCAAGGAGATCACTATTTTAATTTTTCAATTGTAAGAATCATTGAACCTCCTAACCCTCAAGCTTTTACTACAATTTGTTTAAGATTTAAATTGTTCTGTACGTTAAACTCCATTGAACTGCCTTGACTGGTATTGTTCAATGTTCTCGCCTAACAAAAATCCAAGCATCTGGAGTTCTGGAATTTTCCACTGGTCCTCAGCCACAGTGGGAGGGCAAGACTTCCAGATTTCCACTACCCCATGTGTGGGGGAAGATCTTCTTGACATTGTGTTAAAATGGGTCAGGTTTACTTTTTAAAATGGTGTTTATTTGACCTGGGCTCCCCAGAGGTTGATTGGATCATGCCTCAATATTTTATACTCCAGGAAATACAAACCTGTTCCATGCAAACTGATCTCATAATTGAACCCATTTTATCCCAGTACCAATTCAACCAATCAGCTTTTTTTAGTGTAGGGAGAGATTTCCATGACTTTGTGTCAAAGAGATTAGGTCCTAAACTTTCCAATCATTGAACCCTATGACATGAAACAAGGCTGTTTGTTTGATTATACATAGAATACGATAATATAGACTTAAGTGCAGGAATAGAAAATTCTGCACCCCAAGCCTGCTCCATCATTTAATACCATCACAACTGACCTTCTACCTCAACTCCACTTTCCCACCTGCTTACCATACCACTCCATCCCGTGCAAGGCTGAACAAGTGTCTATCCCAGCCCTAAATATAGTCAACAATTGAGTATCTGCAACCCTCTGCAGATGAATTGAATTCTTGCAATAGAATCCTAGAATCCTAGAATCCCTACAGTGTGGAAACAGGCTATTTTGCCCAACAAGTCCACATAAACCTTCCGAAGAGCATCCCATCTAGAACCATCTCCCTACCCTACCCCTGTAAACAGGCTAATCCACCGAGCCTGCACATCCTTGGACACTACAGACAGTTTAACACGGCTAATCCACCTAACCTGCACATGTTGGGACTTTGGGAGGAAACCAGAGCATCTGGAGGAAACCCACACATCCACAGGGAGAATGTGCAAATCCACACAGACAGTTGCCCAAGGATGGAATCAAACCCAAGTCCCTGGCGCTGTGAGTCAGCAGTGCTAACTACTGAACTAACATGTCATCATGATAAAGTGAATGATGGGAGCAAAAAAAAGAGTCAGAAGGAAGAATAATTTCAAGAAAGGATCTTATGCCACAAAAGGTTTATCCTCTTGTGGTTTATTCTCAAACACACAAACTAGACACTTGGAGCTTCTGAATCCTGAATTTATGGGGGAAATAGTCAGTGATGCAGGTGCTGGATTGTATTAGAGATATAAATAAACAAGTAAGCATAATTCATAACTTAGATACAGTATTAATCTAAAATCAAATACAAAAGAATGTACAGTTGTAATATTTTCAGCATTTAATTAGAAGTTGCAAAATGTATATTTTCTTAATTTACAGAATTAAAGTTAAATTTTCATTGCTGTCTGCATTTTGTATTAAAGCCCATAGATCATATGTTATCAGGTTGAGTTCCCTTAAGTTCTCAATAATTTATGTAGAGTTTTATAAAAGAGAGGATTTGCAGTTTTGTAGTCTACTTGCATTCTTTTACCTAGCTCATATCAAATTATTAAAACTATTTGTTTAACAACAACATTTCTTCCTTCTGCAGGTCTAGAAATGGCATGGGTGCAGAGACCCTCAGAGAAGGTGCTTAGTGGTGAAGAATTCAATGTGACCTATGCAGTAACTGTGACAGATCATTTCTATCACTGGGCAGTGGCGAACAATATCCTTTTACATAGGTGGGTACTGCTTTTGCGCCACAGTTATCTGAGCTGACGTTGAATGTGTATGTCCACTGACCATACTGTACCAACTGGGAGCATTACTCAGCAAACTGTGGACATTGTTGTGCCAATTCTCTGTCTCCTTCTACCTTTCTAAGTTTGTCCCATCCCACCTTCAATTGCATAAAGTTAACCTTTTCCATGCTAACTGGTTCTATGCTATTGAATGTTCACGCTGAGTGAAGCACTTTGTGTTTCAGCTACGAAATGACAAAGTTCCTGTTTTGTGCCCCCATTGGTTTCCAAAAATGACTTCCTAAAGAATTGCTATCTCCTCCAAGATGTAGTTGGCTTGCCTTCATCTCTGTCATTCGAGTTATTCTAACTGCACTATTAGCTCAGAGGTTCAGAGAAAAACATAAGAAAAAAAAAGCTTGCAATTACCAAGCACCTTTCATGACTGCAGGAGGCTCCCAAACACTTCATAGTCAATGAGATACTTTTAAAAATGTAGCCACGTTGTAACGTAAGAAACATGGCAGCCAGTTTATACACATGCAGCTAGGTGATCATTACCAGATAAGCCTTTTTTTTTGTTGACGTTACTTGAAGGTTAAACATTATCCAGGACACTGCAGATAATTCCCAGCTGTTCTTTGAAAAAGTGCCATGGGACCTCTTCTATCCACCTGAGAGGGCAGACAGACCTTCTGATAGTGTAGCACTGTCCCAGAGCTGCGCTGAGAGTGTCAGCCTTATATCCAGGAGTGAGACTTTGAATTCACAATCCCCTAACACAGGGAGAGACTGAGCCACAGCTGACACTGTTAAATAAATTAATGACACTGAATAAACAGATTAAGTTGAGAATGTCGTCTGGTTGAGTTAGTAATTATTATGTTTCTCTATGAGGGACTCTCAAGTTTGAGGATATATTATGTTTGGAAAAGAAGGTAGCATATATGTCAGTATGGTGGTCCTTTCAATTTCAGCTGTCAATTTCCTTCTGTTATCCTCTAGTAAATTTACGCAGAAGGGACATAAAGCAAATCCTGCTTCAGTACAGTGTTACATCTCCAACTCAGAGCAGCAACTAAATAAATCCTACCATTAGTAAATCAGGAATAGGAATAGAGAAACTGTTAATACTTTGGTATAAAATGCATTTTACTGCAAGTTGGCTGACAAGCATTGATTGCATACACAGCATCCAAACAGCTGTTGTATTGCAATAAAGCAGAAGAAGAACAGATCAAATTTAAATTGTACATTCAATCCCTCCACTATTTGTAGCTATGTATTCTGCTGTTGAGCCCCTAGGCTCTGGAATTTCCCTCTTAAACCTCTTACCCTTCTCTCCTTTTAAGATGCTCCTTACAACCCACCCATCCTAATTGCTCCTGTGGCTATGTTAAAGGCACCATCTAAGAGTAGGTCATTGTCAATACATACAAAGACATAAATTTGGTGCAGGAATAGGTCATTTGCACCCATAAATTTGCTTCATTATTCTATAAAATCATGGCTGATTTCTTTGCTTTTCAAATTCCACATTCCCACCTAGCCCTGACAATCTTTAATTACCCTGTCTAACAAAAAATTTGATCTACCTCTGCCTTAAAAAATATTCAGTGACTCTACCTCCACTACCTTCTGAGGCAGAGAGTGCTTGCTTGGCTGGTTAGGTTAATTGGCTGGATGGCCAGTCTTCTCTAACAACAGCGGTTTCAATTCTTAAACCAGCTAAGGTCACCATAAAGGTGCCCCTCACCAAAGTTGTGGTGACCCTCAGGTTAACCTCACAGCAGTCATCTCTCTCTACTGAAAGAGCACCCACTGGGACTACAGTGACTTTATCTATACCTATTTAAATAGGAACAGGAACTAAAGTAAATGTTGGTCCTCTACAGGGTGAGAATGGGGAGTTAATTGTAGGAAATAGGGAAACGGTGGATGAAGTGAGCAAGTTTGCTTCCATTTTCAGAACACAAAAACAATCCATTAATAGCTGTAAATCAGGACTTGGAAAGAAGAAAGAAACTTGGTGAACTTATAACTGCTAGGGAAACAGAACCCGGCAAACTAATGGCGCTGTGGGCTGACATCATTCTAGGGCCTGGAAAGTGATGTCTAATGAGGTAGTAGATACTTTGGTGTTAATTTTCAAAAATTCCTAAACTCTGGAAAGTTTCTAACTGAATGGAAAGTAACATATATAGCTCTTCTATTTTAAAAAAGAAGCAGGAAACTATAGGTCCATTAGCTTGACGTTTGTCATGGGGAATTGATTTAATATCAGTCTTGGAACAATGCAAGGTAATTGGAAAGCGTCAGCATGGATTTGTTAAAAGGAAATGTCTTTAAGCTATTTATCATGGTTGTTTGAATTGGTATATGTCTCAGGTAACAATCCAGAGATTGTTATCTTTGAGATTCTGTGCTTGACTTTTTTTTGCCTAACACCACAAACTGTCTAAGCAGAACCTCTTTCCTAGTCCGACCTATGTTGTTAGTAACTACATGGACTACAATAACTGGGTCATTCCCCTTCCACTTCAAGTTCCTGTCTGTTCCTGAACAGAAGTCCCAAACCATGACACTGGTTTTGTAATGTGGCCGTCTGGACTCAGGCTCTTGACTGCACAGGACGGTGTCTATTTCTCTCACTATATTATCCCCTGCCACTACTACATTCATCTTTACTACCCTCACTGGAAAGCCATCCTGAGCCAAGGTGCACTGGTCATTCCACTCCTCCTGCCTACAAGATCTTGCTGTCATTCACTTGGGTGAGCACCTCAAAATTGTGACTGCCTTCTGAAACTTAGTGACCAGGTATCTCTCACCCACCATAGTGTGTCGCAATGTCTTCAACTCAACCTCCAATTCAACAACTGAGCTTTAGACATTTGCTACAGATGTTTGTTTTGACTCACTTTCAGGTCCAGAAGCTTCCACATTCCTCAGCTGCAACACAACACCTAACTCACCATTGTCTGTGCTAATTAGCACAATCAGTCATATAAAATTAGTTGCTGTTCCACACCATTATTTTACTGTGCCTATTAAATGCTGATGCCACTTACAACTAAAAGCTATACACGTCTTATTTAAACAGGTAACTATTTTAGTGATTTTTTTTTTATTTACAGGCCTTTGGTTCCTAAACAGCCTATTTACACAACCCCGTATGCTGATCACTTTCTGGTCAGTCAGCATACGAGACTCCTATGCAACTACTATTATTTTTCATACTGTTTTTTTCAAAAGCTGAGCAGACACTGGCTTCCAGCAACTGAAGGTGCTACGCTCCAAAAATATGAGGAAAAGAAAAAATATACCTCCTTTTACTACTTCACCAGACCCCTACACTTACCAAACTGCCTGACCTTTCGCTCTGTGCTACTTGTACTCGGTGCTAGCTACACTTTTCCTGGCCATTTATTGATACTGCTTGTAACTTAGATAAACCAGCTCTGTCCCACTATTGTGAAGAGACAAATTTTGGATAACCCTTTAATTAGCTAACTATACTGTAGGTTCTCTCTTCCTTGTCTAAGCCTGAAAAAAAAATCTTGAGATGTTAAATTTGACTTAAGCAACGAATCTCACTTTAATGTTTAACATTTAAATGCTAAAAGCAACTAACACTTTTAAAGTAACATTACTCTTTACGAGAGAGTTACAAAGGGTCATTCAGAAACAGGCTAAGGCAGGGAAATAGAATATGAGTGTAAACTAATGAGTGGCATTAAAATGCATGACATAAGCTTCTCCATCTGAGTGTGTTAAAAGAGGTGGATGTAGTAATAATAGATGCATTGGTGGTCATTTTTCAAAATTTATACTGACTCTGAAATGGACCCTGCTGTTTGGGAAGTGGTGCATACAACCACATTATTCAAGAAAGGAGAAAGAAGGAAAACTGGGAAATATAGACCTATTAGTCAGAAGCAGGGAAAATGTTAGAATCACTAATGAATACTATGGAAATACTGGTAAACTTGGCAAGAATCAACATGGATTTATGAAAGGGTAATCATGTTTGATTCACCTGCTGGATTTTTCTTTTGAGACATAATTTGCAGAATAGGTAAGGAAGAACTGGTGAAGTTTGCATGCTCTCCTCATGACTGTGTGGGTTTCCTCCCACACCCCAAAGATATGCTAAATTGCCCTAGTGTCCAGGGATGTGCAGGTGAGGTGGATTAGCCATGGGAAATGCAGGGTTACAGGTACAGAGTAGGGGGTTTGGTCAATGTGGACTCAATTCGCCGAATGGTCTGCTTCCACACTCTGGGGATTCTATGATTATAGAGTTAGATTAAAGAGTGCCTTGGTAAATGAAGACGTTGCATTGGGAGTAGTGAACTAACTTCAAATAGTGAAATAATATGCAATTACAACGCTTTGGAACGGAAAAAAGCCTAAGCTCAGTTGTGTGAAGACTCCAGGAAGAATCTATCAGACTCTTAAAATGGCAAATTGAAGCTACACTTTAATATTAACTTCAATAGATGTGAAAGAGAAGAGAATTCCGTCCTCTCTGACAACTGTAAAGGACTGTTTATAGCATTAATGCAATTGTATTTTTGCCATGTGTTTTGAAATCCTTAAGCATATGTTTTATGTAAATAGTTTGATTTATTCTATTTTATCTTCATTTCTTTTGCAAAGTAAAATTCTGCTTATTCTTTTATTAAAACTGAACCTGCAACATTTGTGTTTCAGTAAAAGATCACCTGGTTAAAACCAAAAGGAAAATATATCTATCAAGCCAGATTTCAGTCTGGGATCTGACTTGTCTATCAGTAACAATAGTTTGGAATCAAAAGGGTAGATGTAGGAAGGATCTATCCCCTGGTTGGTTCGCCTAGAACTAGAATTAGACAATCTCAGAATAAAAGGCGGGCCATTTCGGACTCGGATGAGGAGGGATTCTTTCCCTCGGGTGGTGAGTTATTGGAATTCTCTGTCCCTTAGGGCTGTGGAGCCTGAGTCATTGAGTATGTTCAAGTTTTAGATCGATAGATTTCTAGATCTTAAAAAGATCAAGGGATATGGGTATAGGTGCAGGAAAACTATGTTAAAATAGAAGATCTCACTGAATGCCGGTGTGGGTTCAAAGAACTGAATGGCCTACTCCTGCTCCTATTTCTTTTATTGTTAGTAACTTGTTTATAATGGGCCTGAAACTTCTTGAAGTTGTGTTTCAAATAAGAGTTTCATTCACACTACTCAACACCAGTCAAAAAGGGCAGAACTTGACGGAAAATCCACAAGTTTCATTTCTACATCTCCAGTTTTATCATGAACATGAAGTCTTCTAGAAAATATCTTTGTGCCATCTGTAATTAATACCACTTGCCTATTTTGTCGACATCTAGCAATCCGACAGAAGCCAAAGCTTTCTGTGAAGAGAAGGAGTGTCCCTTGGACTGGAAGAATGCCAATGAAGACAACTGCTGTGTGCACCATGCCAACATTCACTCCTGCCCACTCAATTTTATGGTTAGTGATCTCACTCTTTGACTCTGGGTATGACTGTACTATACACAAATTGATACAAACACAGACAATGCTGGAAAAACTCAGCAGGTCTGACGGCATCTATATGGAGGGAACCAGAGTTGATGTTTAGAGTCTGACTCTTCTTCAGCTTTATCTACAGCTTGTTGTTTGTGGCTTGATAGTACAAAACTCAAGTATAGCTGAAAAAGGGACATGCTGTCAAAAAGCTTTTCATTTTGCACTCATCACAACAGGCACAGAATGCCACATTTCAAAGGGAGGAACAATTTATACTGCATGACAAAAGGGTTTGATTGGTTGGCAATTCAACTCTAATTGGTTGAGACATTACCACCCAATTAGCACACTTTTCTTCAGTTTATGCCTTCAAGATTTGATATTCTGGTCAAAAAGCTTTGATAATATGTGCCTAACTTCATACAATGATTAAACTCTCATTTCCCTCTCTTTGTACTGGATACAGTACTTACCAAACTTCTCCCTACTGTGACCCCATTTGAATATTGTTGTTACCCCTCAGTGGGACCTGGAGTGGGTTAATGTGGGCAAATGAGGTTCGATGCAGAGAAGTGTAAGGTGATGCAATTTGGTTGGAAGAACAATGAAACACAATAGGAAATAGGGGGTACAATTCTAAATGGGGTGGCAGGAGCAAAGGGACGTCAGTGTATATGTGCACAGATCATTAAAGATGGCAGGACAATTGGAGAGAGCAGTTAGTAGACCATACGGTGTCCTCAGCTTTATCAGTAGGGGTGAGGAGGTGATTTTGAACTTGTACAAGACACTTGTTAGACCCAAGTTAAGAGTATTGTGCACAATTGTGGGCACAACATTGTAGGGAGAGATGTGAATGCATTGGAGAGAATGCAGAAGCAATTTACAAGAATTGCTCTAGCAATGGGAAACTTCAGTTAAGAAAAATTGAAGTTGGAACTTTTCACTTGGAGGGGAGAAGCCTGGGAGGATATTTGATAGAGGGTTTTCAAAATTGAGTGAGCTGGTTGGAGGTAGGGAGAAGCTGTAAAAGAAACAAGAGTGGGGAAAACTAAGCAAGGGTGACGTGAGGGAAAACTTTTCCACTTAGCAAGCAGTTAAAGTATAGAATGCAATGCTTGGAAGGGTGATGGAGAAACGTTCAATTGAGGCATTCAAGAGGGCACTGGATGATTATTTGGATAGGAATAGTGTGCAGGAAAATGGGGAAAGAGCAGGAAGTTGCCAATAGGTAATAATGTTTGTTTGAAGAGCCAGTGCATGCATGATGGGCTGAATGGCTTCCTTATGCCCTGTAACAATTCTGTGACACTGGGAACCTGTCTATTCAAGTGGAAGGGCAGTTGTTATAACTTAGAGCCATTGTTGCCTTGGAGTATGTGATGCAAAGTTTCATCTTGTAGTCCCAACAAATCACTTTGTCAAATCCTGGTGTAATCAGTAGGTTACAGACCCCTCTGTATATTCAAGCTGATTAAATCCAATAATTATTTGGTGCTGAGGCTTAATGTACATTTTTTTTTGCTCCTTGAAGGTAAAGGGAGGAATTTGTGGTCCGTGGATTCCTGATGACGGGCAGATAGTTACCCATACTATATCCACTGCGGGGAAGATCAGCCAAATCAATTGGACTGCCAAGGTAACTTAGGAACATCTGAAGGTATGAACAGTGAAGACATGAATAGGCCTCCTGGCCTTATGGAGGGTGCAGAGGAGGTTTGTCAGAATGGTACCAAGAATGAGAGACTTCATTTCTGCAGACAGACTAGAGATGATTGGATTCTTCTCCTTTAGAGCAGAGAAGGTTAAGGGGAGATTTAACTGAGGTCTTAAAAATCATGAAGTGTTTTGATAGACTAAATAAGGGGTTTTATTTCCTCTCTTATGAGGATCAGTAACCAGATAAATAAAAGTTCAAGGTATTTAATGCAACGATCAGGAGTGAGATAATGATTTCATTCCTTGCTCAGTTTGTTCTTAGGGAGCTGGAATTGCTATCTAAAAGATAGTCAAAGCAGATTCAAAGAGAAAATTTTTAACGGGCAGGTGGGAAAGTGTGGTGGGGATTAGGACCTTTTTTCCTAAGAGCTAGCATGGGGTGATTGACTGAATGATCTCCCTCTGTGCTCTTTCATCTTATGATCCCAAGGTCTATTCCAGCCTGTCATACATTGTGTTTATACCTTGTGTATAATGTCATGTAATCTCCAGACTATGTGAAACAATGTGATATCTTGGAAGTGACAAATGGTCTCTCAGAAAATCAAGGAATGTGGGGAGCAAGTAGGAAAATGGAGTCAAGATTTGTGCATTTCAGTACATTGGCAAAAATATAACAATTGAAGCTGATGTGCTTATTTTCTGTTTTTATGGTTAAGTTCTTTTATTAATTGTTACCCTTTGAATAAATACAAATTTATCTGGCTGGTAGCACAGGGACAATGCAGTTATTTTAGAAACAGAATATAATTGTTAAATGTATAGCTGAGTGCACTGGTTTAAGACTGCAGTAATCTTAATTTCTCATGCTTTCCGACTGTAGGTGGTCCTTGTCCATCTTGGTGTAACCTCCCTAATAGCTCACATCAAGGTTGGTCGAATGCAAGCGGCACTGGAGGCTAAAACCATGGTGTTACCTGCGCAAGGTAATTCAGACTAAAATGCTGTGCATCACTGTGAGAATTGATTGTAATTAAAGAACAATGCAAATTTTTATTTGGAATAATTTTGCAGGGGTAAATCATTGTAAATAGATCACCCCGTCGCGCTTGCAAACTGCAGGGGCTGAGATTCAGATCTATAGGTCTAAATCAACCCTGAGTTGAGTCGCACAGCTTTAAGACCCTACCAGCACTCGGAAGAACTGCAGTTTTAAGGTGCCACCTTTTTGGAGGCAATGTTAAAACAAAGCTCTGTCTCTTCATTCAAGTGAACATGACTAACTCATGGTCACTATTTCAAAGAACAGTTCCGGCCAGTATGTATCCTGCAGCCAGCTCTGTGGGAAGAAGAGACAATTTGGTCATTCTTGCACTGTTCTCTTTTTTTTGGGATTTTGCTGCACAAAATCAGCTCCCGCCTTTTCCTACATTCCAACAGTAAGTACACTTCTGAAAGCATTTAATTGATGGTAAAACCCTTCAAGACATTCTTGAGTTTGAGAAACACACAATATCTTTCAGTCCTCTACAGTCTTTGTGACTATGGTTCTCCAATGAGCCCCTGTGACTGCTGTAGTTCATAAAATAAACTATGCAGATCCTTCCCATTGAAACTGTGATCAACTTTCACACTCTCAATGAGTTTTTAGCTTTATAATGAATGGTAATTTTGAATAGCCAAGTGTGTCAATATTATGGTCGAAAGTCTATAGTACATACAATTACCATTTGGGAATGTAGATCTTTAGAATAGAAACAGATGAGTTTTGGTTTCAGTTCTGTGAGAGTGACTTTTTTCTAAAAAGACCAAAATGTAATTTTGAAAAATTGACCTAAATACATAATTTCCTAGAAAGCATGTGACTTAGTGTCTGGTCAGATAGCAATATAGTTTATTGATCAAATGTTTACGACATTAAGTTTATGACATAGAGAGACAAATGATCAAGGGTCACTGGTAGTATAGTTTGAGCTCAAATTGGGTGAATCGGGTTTCAGTTTGACCCTACCAGAAAGAGGTTTTCAGGTCAGGAAAGCACTGCCATCCTAGCACCAGAGTAGTTTGTGTTTGCAGGATCGCAATTAGATTGTGAAAGTTTGAAAAACTTCTCGGCTGTTAAAACAGAAAATGAATCCAGGCTATCTGAACTAGAAAGAAGTCATAAAACTACTTCAGCAGTCCAAGGAGAAAAATGGTGGAAGATTTAGTTTAGTAACAAATTGAAGAGTTAAGATTGGAGTGGTGTTTCTCTGGGATTGAGTATCTGAAAATGATATTGCTAGGAAAAAGGTTCAATATCAGTTTGTTTTCCAAGTCAAGGTCTTAAATTGACTTGTATATGAACATAACTTGGTTTGTTTCTTTTTCTGTTCCATAACAAACTTGTGTTCTTTATCAAAAGAACATTGGCAGTTTTGTGTGAATATGTTCAGTGAATGACCATGGTGGTAACCAAGTATAAAACATTAAACTTATAATGCCTCAAGCCAGGTTTCATTCTGGGATCTGACTTGTCAAGTATTACCAAGAGCTGGGATATAAATAGAAAATAATTATAATAAATCCAATTGAGAATTGAAGCTTCTTTATCCAAGGTGGGGAGAATATGATGAAAATGTTGCTGAGGATTGCATTTAAGGGAAGCATGATAAACATATTTACGAAGAAAAGGATAGAAAGATGTGCTGTAGTGTTGAGAGGAAGAGGGGTTGAGAGGAGGCTCGTGTGAAACATTAATGACAGCATTTATTAGTTGGACAAAATGACTTGTTTTTCTAAATTATCTGTAACATGTTTTTCTATTGAGCACTGAGATATAACAATGCACTAATAGCGTCTTCCTATTCTTGTGTTGAGTGTGTGGAGATGATAACTGTGATAAGGATGAAACGTGCTCCACTTGTCCAGCAGATTGTGGTGACTGCACTTCCACCATCAAAATAGCTATCAGTTTCCCCATCTCGCTGGCATGTGTTGGCTTCATCCTTACTGTTGTGGTAGGTCTTTTTGTGATGCTCTTTGTGTTTGTCTATGCCTTTACATAAAACAAAATACATCAATAAAAGATCTTAATTGACTGTGCAACATTTACTCACCTTTTTTTTCTCATCTCAGTGGCTTCAGTATCAGAAGCAAAAGATGTTGTGGGATGAAAGCTGGATCATTGACTTCAATCAAATTAAGCAAGGTTTGTGTGTTGCTGTGGAGCTGCTAGCTGTGGGTATAAGTTTGATCAATAAATTAGTAGATTCGTTTGTGCTGGTTGCACGGATCATATGCTGCATTCAATGTACAAAGGCATGGATATGCAGATTATTGTTTGCAGCCTTAGACTGACCGCTGCCTCACTGTCCTGCAGTGATTCCATGATAATATTCCAGAGCACAAATTGTTTTTCTCTGAATACATCTGATGATCAGCCAGTCATTAAACTGAAACTAATATTTGCTTTGCACAAGTGAAGCTGCCAGTCAATTGTGCTCAATTTAAATAATCTTGTATGATGGTGTATTTGAAATGAATTTGTGTTCCTCATAATTTATCTCGTCCATATTTCTATAATCTTCTCCAGCCCCAGAAACCTCTTGATGCTGCTCTCTTCCACATCGTTTCACCTTGGTGCCTTCAATCGCCTGAGCTCTATCAAGTCTGTCCCTAAACCTAGCCATATAGCAGCTCTCTCTCATTCTTTAAGATACTCCTTAAAATCTGTCTCTTTTAATAAACTTTTCTTCTTCCGTCATTATCTGCTCGATGTGACTTGGTGTCAGGTTTTGTCTGATGATGCTCGTCTGAAGTGCCTTGGGATGTTTCACTATGTTAAAGGTGCTGTATAGACGCAAGTTGTTGTGAACTTTTGCAGAACTAAAACAAGCAACACCTACATAAGTCAAAGCATATAGTCCTGTCAGCTGTGGGTCAGCACTTAATCTGCTCAACTTTGTTACCAGTTCCAATCCTGTTGGAAAGAGCTGAATATTTAGTCTTGGCTGACATGCCTGTGCTTCTACATTGGAGGTGATGACTTTTGGGTAGGATGATAAACCAAAGCCCTGCTACCCTCTCTGGTACATGTAAAGGATTTTACAGCACAGTTTTGAGAAAGAGCACAGGAAGTATTGCTAATGTCCTAGTCAACAGTTATTCCATTACCAACATCTAAATGGATAATTTTATTTAATTATTGTTTGTAGGAGCTTTCTCTGCATGCATTGGACACCTTGTTTCCTAAATTACAAAATTGACAACACTTGGAGTACTTAGTTGGCTGTAAAGAACTTTGGAAATGTATTGAGATCGTGAAAGCCACAATATAAATGCAAATTTCTTGTATCTTTCTTTTCAACAGACATTGGCCAATTACATACAGTTACTTGACTAAACAATGTTCTGCTCAGCAGGAAGAAATTGAGTATCTGTAAGTTTTGATGTGACATTTCTGAACTCTCCTGCAGATCATACCATGATGGGCAGCTTGGGCAGTGTTCCCAATGGAGCCAGTGATTCCAATGCCAGCTGTATCACCACAGTGAGCTCTTGTACAGGACCACTCACTGCATCCAGAAAACAGCACTTTACCCAGACAGGCATATTGTAAGTGAAATATACTAATCCATTAACACATTCCAAGTAGTGTGCACAATTTTCCTTCAGGACAGATACACTTGCATTTGAAGCCCTTCAAAGAATATGAACTGGGCGGATTCCTGAGATGAGGGACTTGTGCTCTGAGGAAATAGTGAGCAAATTTGGAATATACACATGGGAGTATATAAGAACGAGGGATGATCTTATTGAAACATGTACGATTGTGAGGGTGGGTAGTAGTATTTACCAAGTAGATGCAGATAATTCTCCAAGTTGTGTGGGGGGAGAGGTCTAAAATGGGGGATAAAATCCAAAAGAACTGCGGATGCTGTAAATCAGGAGCAAAAACAGAGTTGCTGGAAAAGCTCAGGAGATCTTGCAGCATCTGTGAAGGAAGAAAACACAGTTAACATTTCAGGTCCGGTGACCCTTCCTCAGAACTGGTGGCTGGGAAAGCAACGTTCCGAGGAAGGGTCACCGGACTCAATGTTAATTGTGTTTTCTTCCTTCGCAGATGCTGCCAGACTTGCTGAGTTTTTCCAGCAACTTTGTTTTTGCTTTAAAATAGGGGCACAGTTTCAAACTAAATGGTATCCCATTTAAGTTGAAAAGGAGGAGAAATTCCTTCTCTCAGAGGGACTTTAAGTGTTTGGATGTCTCTTGCCCAGTGGCAGTGGAAACTGAATATATGTAAGGCTGAAGGAGACAAAGTTTTTTGATTGACAAAACAATCAAAGGTTATGGGGACACGCAAGTATTTTAGTTAAGACCAAAATCAGATCGGTCATCATCTAATGGAGTGGTACAGCAGTTCAATGGGACAAATGGTCCCTACGTCTGATGCTCATTCTTGTTATTTTTATAAAAGCCAAAAGAACTGCCGTAAATCAGAAACAAAAATAGAAATTGCTGGAAAAGCTCAGCAGGTCTGGTAGCACCTGTGGAGAGAAACCAGTTAACATTTTAGTAAGCCTTACTTAGAACTGATGGTAGCTAGGAAAGGGTGACGGTAGGGGGTAAGGAGTAAATGATAGGTAGGGATAGAGCCCAAAAAGAGAGAAGAATAGTTGGACAGAAAAAGAAGTGGATAACGATCTGGCAAGGAGGGTGAATAGCTATTAATGAGGACTGTTAGTGGCTAATGATGGGTTGTGCGTAATAGCAGACCATGTGAGAACAAGGCCTGGTGTGTGGGGGTTGGGGTAAGGGTATGGAGAGCTCAAGCCGTAAAGTTATTGAACTCCATATTTAGCCTGGAAGGCTGCAGGGTCCCCCAAGCAGAAAATGAGATGCTGTTCTTCTGGCTTGCCACAGTACTTTGGAATGTGGTGACCATCCTGAAAGGAGCCACAGAAATGCAAATCCTTGGTTTGAATTGTACTGTCCTCAACAAAGCAAAAGAGCTCACTGCTGATCCTAAAGGAAGCCTTGCAGAGAGATTGAGTAATATCTGTTGTGATAACTTTAACTCTCTTACTAGATAGTGAAATGGAACATCAGTTTTTAAAGGAGATTTTCAATGTGTAGCTAATAATATATCACACTATCCAAGCAGCCAATCCAATTAAAGCATTCTCACAGACAGCCCAGCAGGAATTTAATAAATTAATCAACCTACTGTTAAATAAAATTTACACAGCAAAATAAATATTGGAGCATATACCTAGAGGTAAACTAGAAGTTGAAATATTATTTTTAAAGATATTTATTGTTACAATCTATTAATCTTGAAAATCTTTAACAACGTTCAACAAACTTTCCTGGGCTACAGAGATCATTCAGCAGTTTGAGACATAACCCAATATGAATGTCTTGCTGTTGAGCAGAGGTCATCAGCCACTCATTATCTTTCTAGTCACAAGATCATGGATCAGTCTATTTTGATTTGCCCCTTCTCCCTTTGAAAGATTGTTTTTGAAATTCCCTTTGCACTTTTACATGTAACAATATGTGGGTCTCTGTCTCTCCAAACATCCACTTAATTTACATACGTGGCCAATGTAGGCTGTATCAACCCTCTCGTATTATTTTAAAAAAAGAATTCTGAAATAAAAATGAAAACCGTCTATTGTACTTTAGGGTCTGACCTGTAGTCAGGACACCTTAAGATTTTTATCTGCAAGCTGCCATAGAACATGGGAAATTCTCTCAAATTAATGCCTATACTGTCTCTGTAAAGTGGTTTGGGAGCAGAGTTGTCATCACACAGTCTGTGGAGAAGCATTGAAGGACAAGCACAACGTCAGGAATCTTTTTGTTTCTTTGTGCGTTCACTAAATCTTGATCCAAAACAGTAATGCTAGTCAATACTGGCAGTTCATCACCAAAATCCTTGTAAATATCGCACCTTTCTTTCTTGTGCATCAAATAACTGTATAGTAACAGCATTGACAGATAACTCACTGCTATGTCAGTGATTAATCCAGTGTGTGTATACACATTCACGCATTAAATAGAATGCATGTCATAGGAATAGTGGTCTATCTGATCTTTCCTGGTATCTGTGTATTGCATAAACATTCTTCCACTGTGATTTCAACGTTAGGTTGGAGAAGCTGGAATTGTTTCTTCTGGAATAAAACATTTGATGGGAGGCTTACAAGATTATTACAGGTTAAAGCAAAATAGATAAAGAAAAGCTTTTGCTATAAGCTCATGGTTCAAGGACTGGAGGACAAACGTTGACAGCTTTGGATAAGAGATACAGGGGATGTGGGGAAGAACCATCTTTATATACAGAAAGTGATATTAACCATTTTGGTGAGCAATTGGATCTGGACTCCTTTTTACCAGCAGCAGGTCAACAGCATGACTACTGTCAGTGTTTGTTTGGCCTTTGTTTGGCTGTAGCTGGAGGAGAAAGGAGCTTTGATGGATGTGTGCCCTCAAAGTCAAGTGAGTGGGGTCCAGGACTCACTGAGGGCAGTTGACACCATTGCCAATGGGACGGTCATCACAGTTGTGCTGAGTGACTAGTTGTCCCAGATTTTTCAGGAAGGACCTTGAAATTTAGCATTTAGCCTGGGTCCTGGGTCAAGTCTTTCTGGGACATACCTTTTCCCAGGTTTGTTCTGTCTCTGCAAGCTTCATGTCTGCTCACACCCTGGCACTTACATGGGCTTGGGTTTGGGGCTGTGCCGAGGATGTCAGGCTATGAGGTCTGAAGCATGGCCAAATCATGCATGAGTCAAAGATTGACGTTGCAGCAGCACCCGCACCCCCCCCCCCCACCCCCACCCCCCCCCCAACCCCAGTCACCCTTACCACCACCACCACCACCACCACCAACATCCCCCCTCCCCCAAACATGCCCCTGCAGCCTCGGGAGGCACTGTGTGGGATGTGAAGTGGCGGAAAAGGAACCTGCCAAGATTTGCCCCAGCAGAGTCAGGAAGAGGCTGTCAATTGGCCATCAATTGGCCATTTAATTGGCTCATTTGGGTTCCTGATCAGTTTATGTGCCATCTTTCAGACCACTTGGAAAACGGTATGGCCATGGGAAAGCATGGGGCCTTATTTTAACTCTCCATCCCACTTTCACTCTGACCTCTCTGTCCTTGGTCTCCCGTAATATTTTAGCGAAGATCAGCATTCAATAAAGGAACGGCACCTCATCTTTCGATGAGTCTACAAAGCTATGTCTAAATTTTGAACTCACCAATTTCAGAACAGAACCTGGACTTCCAATTTTTTTTGTGTGTGGAGAGCACTTGTTTCTGATGCTGAAATTGACACCTTCCTGACACCCATCTTTTGTTTCTTTTAATTGCCTCCTGGCTATCTAAGTTGCAACGCATTGTCATCTCCTTTGTCATTTGTTCGCTCCTATTTTCTACCCTACTCCTCTTTCCTCTTAAATTTATCTGTGTACTTGTTTAGTTTTCTTTAAATCATTCACTGGATGAGCGCATCGTTGGCTAGGCTACCACTTATTGCCCATCCCTAATTGCCCAGATGCCAATACCTGTTATATCTTTGACTTGTTGCAGTTGTGACAGAAGATCATTGACCTGAAATTTTAGTTCTGTTTCTGTCTGTATAAAAAACATGTAAATGTCAGTTGTGGTGTGGTGCAGCATGAGTTAGATACAACATCGGGGAATTATATACTGCCTGTGAATGGTTCAGCTGCTGAAATCACATGCAAGCAACCCAGCACTTGTAGACTTTCTCCCCTACACATTCAGAATCGTGCCCCCCACCATCCAATTCTTTCAACTTCGTCCTTTTATGACCCATCTCAAATGTTATGACAAATATTTGGTTGATTTGATGAACTTTAATCATTTACAACATTTAGTTCTTAACAATGAAATGTGAAGCCCACTGCTATTAATCCTTTTTGTCATTTGTAGCAATGGGCGGACTGTTGCCATTAAGAAAATAAAGAAGAGAACTTTTGCCCTTTCCAAAGCCATTCGCAAAGAGGTGAAACTCGTCCGGTGAGTCACAACCCATAAGCAGTCTCTTTAGAACATAGAGCATAAATCAGTACAGCACAGTACAGGCCCTTCGGTCCACAACGTTGTGCCAAACTTTTACCCTAATCCTAAGGTCTATCTAACCTCCACCCCTACCTTATACTATCATCCATATGCCTATCTAACAGCCGCTTAAATGCCCCTAATGAGGCCGACTCCACTACCCTCTCCGGCATTGCATTCCACACCCCTACCACGTGCTGAGTAAAGAACCTACCTCTGACATCTCCCCTATATCTACCTCCACTCGCTTAAAAACTATGCCCCCTCATAATAGCTACCTCCACCCTAGGAAAAAGTCTCTGGCTGTCCACTCTATCTATACCTCTGATCATTTTGTACACCTCTATCAAGTCACTTCTCATCCTTCGTCATTCTAAAGAGAAAAGCCCTAGCGCTCTCAACCTTTCCCCATAAGACCTTCCCTCCATTCCAGGCAACATCCTGGTAAAGCTCCTCTGCACCTTTTCCAACGCTTCCACATCTTTCCTGTAATGAGGCGACCAGAACTGGACACAATATTCCAGATGTGGCCGAACCAGGGTTTTGTATAGCTGGAGCATAACTTCACGGCTCTTGAATTCAATCACTCTATTAATGAAAGCTAACACACCATACACCTTCTTAACAACTCTATCCACCTGGGTGGCAGCTTTCATGGAACTGTGGACATGAGCCCCAAGATCCCTCTGCTCCTTCACACTGCCAAGAATCTTTCCGTTAACCCTGTATTCTGTTTTCAAGTTTGTCCTTCCAAAATGAATCACCTCACAATTTTTAGGGTTAAACTCCATGTGCCACTTCTCAGCCCAGCTCTGCATCCTATCAATGTCCCTTTGTAACCTAGAACAGCCCTCCGCACTATCCACAACTCGACCCACCTTCCTATCGTCTGCAAACTTACTAATCCACCCTTCCACTCCTACATCCAAATCATTTACAAAAATCACAAATAGAAGAGGACCCAGAAAAGATCCTTGTGGTACACCACTCGTAACTGAGCACCATGTTGAATATTTTCCGTCCACTACCACCCTTTGTCTTCTAAGGATCAATCAATTCTGAATCCAATCTGCCAGATTTCCCCCTATCTCCTGCCTCCTTACCTTCTGCATGAGCCTACCATGGGGAACCTTATCAAATGCCTTACTTAAATCTATGTATACCACATCCACTGCTCTACCTTCATCCACGTGTTTGGTCACCTCTTCAAAGAATTCAATAATGTTTGTGAGGCATGATCTACCCCTCACAAATCCATGCTGACTATCACGAATCAAACTGTGCCTATCCAAGAGATCATAAATCCTATCTCTTAGAGCCCTTTCCAATAAATTGCCCACCACTGACGTAAGACTAACTGGCCTGTAATTTCCAGGGTTATCCCTATTCCCATTTTTGAACGAGGGAATGACGTTTACCTCTCTCCAATCTTCCGGCACTATACCCGTAGAAAGTGAGGACGAAAAGATCATTGCCAAAGGCCCTGCAATCTCTTCCCTCGCTTCCCATAGAATCCTTGGATAAATCCCATCAGGCCTGGGGGACTTATCTGTCTTCAAGTTTCACAAAATTCCTAGTACATCTTCCTTACTACATCCACCTCCTCTAGCCTACCAGCCTGTTTCATACTGTCCTCCTCTACAACTAGGTCACTCTCAGTTGTGAATACTGAAGAAAAGTATTCATTAAGGACCTCTCGTATCCCTTTAGGCTCCGTGCACAAATTCCCTTCACAATCCTTGATCGGCCCTACCCTTTCTCTGGTCATTCTCTTATTCCTCACGTACGTGTAAAAAGCCTTGGAGTTTTCCTTGATCCTATCTGCCAAGGTTTTCCCTTGCCCCCTTATAGCTCTCCTAAGCCCTTTCTTCAGCTCCTTCCTGGATAACTTGTATTCCTCTAGAGCCTCTTCCATTCCTTGTTTCCTAAACCTTATATAAGCATCCTTCTTCCTCTTAACCAGTCGCTCCTCTCTTGAGAACCAAGGCTCCCTCACTCGACCGCATCTTCCCTGCCTGCTAGGGACAAACATATCAAGCACACGCAGTCTGCATTCCTTAAACAATCTCCACATTTCAATAGTGCTCTTCCCTGACAGCATCTGTTCCCAATTTATGTTACCCAGTTCTTGCCTAACAGAATTGTAATTACCCTTGCGCCAATTATAAACCTTACCCTGTTGTATGTGCCTATCCTTTTCCATGACTATTGTAAAAGTAAGAGTTATGATCGCTACCGCCAAAATGCTCTCCTACCAACAGGTCTAACACTTGGCCCGGTTCATTGCCAAGCACCAAATCCAAAGTGGCCTCTCCTCGTGTTGGTCTATCTACGTACTGTGTCAGGAATCCTTCCTGAACGCACTGGACAACATCCGCTCCATCTAAACTATTACAACTAAGAGGTTTCCAATCAATATTTGGAAAGTTGAAGTCACCCATGACTACAGCCCTGTGACTTCTGCACCTTTCCAGTATCTGCCTCCTAATCCGCTCCTCCACTTCTCTGCAACTATTAGGGGGTCTGTAAAAATACCCCCAACAAAGTGACTGCTCCTTTCTTGTTCCTGACCTCAACCCAAACTGACTCTGTAGACATATCATTCTCGAACTGCCTTTCAGTAGCTGCGATACTAGCCCTGACTAGCAATGCCACTCCCCCGCCTCTTTTACCACCCTCCCTATTTCCCTATTTCTTTTAAAGCATCTAAATCCCGGAACTTCCAACAACCATTCCTCTCCCTGAGTTACCCAAGTTTCTGTAATGGCCACAACATCATAGTTCCAAATACTGACCCATGCTTTAAGTTCATCCGCCTAATTTCTGATACTTCTAGCATTGAAGTACACACACCACAAACCATCTTTGTGTCCACAATTACGCTCCATCGACCGCATTTCTTTATTAACAACCTCACTCCCTGTTGTGTCTGTTGGAAGGCTGAATACCTCATCCTCTGAATTACAAATCCGGTTCCCCATCCCCTGCCCATCTAGTTTAAACCATCCGGTATAACTCGAGCAAACCTCCCTCCCAGGACATTTGTGCCCTTCTGGTTCAGGTGCAACCCGTCCTTACTGTACAGGTCCCACCTTCCCCATAATGTGCTCCAATTATCCACATAATGGAAGCCCTCCCTCCTACACCAGCCCTGTAGCCACGTGTTTAGCTGCACTCTCTCCCTATTTCTTACCTCGTTATCACGTGGCACTGGTAGTTATCCAGAGATAACTACCCTGTTTGTCCTGGACTTCAGCTTCCAACCTAACTCCCTGTACTCGTTTTTCACATTCTCAGTCCTTTTTCTACCTATGTCATTGGTACCGATGTGTACCATGACTGCTGGTTGCTCATCCTCCCCCTTAAGGATCTTGAAGACACGATCCGAGACATCATGGACCCTGGCACCAAGGAGGCAACATACCATCCGTTCATCTCATTCGCGTCCACAGAACCACCTGTCTGTGCCTCTTACTATTGAATCCCCCACTACAATTGCTCTCCTATTTTCCCCCCTTCCCTTCTGTGCCACAGGGCCAGGCTCAGTGCCAGAGACCTGTACACTATGGCCTTCCCCCTAGTAGGTCGTCCCCCTCAACAGTATCCAAAACGGTATACTTATTATTGAGGGGAATGGCCACAGGGGATCCCTGCACTGTTTGCCTATTCCCTTTCCCCTTCCTGACAGTCACCCAGCTGCCTTTTTCCTGTACCTTAGGAGTGACCACCTCCTTATAACTCCTCTCTATCACCCCCCTCAGCCTCCCAAATGATCAGGAGTTCGTCCAGGTCCAGCTCCAGCTCCAGCTCCAGTTCCCTAACGCGGTTTTTGAGGAGCTGGAGTTGGGTGCACTTCTCGCAGGTGAAGTCAGAGAGGACACCAGCAGTGACCCTTACCTCCCGCATCCTGCAAGAGGAGCATGCAACTGCCCTAGCTTCCATTCCCTCTACTCTAGCTTTCCAGAAGAATAAAAAAAACCTTACCTTACCGACCCTCCACACAGTCTTTTTTTTTGGTTAGAGAACAAGGATGGGTGGGAGACACTACATGTGTAGTGTTTCAGGTTTAGCCAATGGCCAAATATATTAGTTCCTTCCTGGCTCGCATTCTCTCCACAAACCCACTGCTCCAAACAAGAAGTTTGTTTAACTCTGGTCTCCAACGTATAGATTGCAATTGATTGGTTGATCATAGAGCCTCTGAGTCGATCTTACAGCCTGCCCGTGCTCCCTTACTGTGTGTGCGTACCAGTTGTCATGGCATGACTTGCAATTACAGAAGCCATGTGGCTGGAGAAAAGCGGTTGCTCTTAATCGGCTTTGCCAATTTGTTGCAGTGCGTTTCAGTTTGGTCAAGTTGTAGTAACATTGCAAGGTAAGTTACGTTTTGTAGTGGGAATGCAAAAAAAATGAATGACATCTATTCTAGGATTGATGTGTGAAGGTAGCATATTACAGCACTAGAGACACAGGAGGCTATTCAGCTCGTTATGTCCACATGTACTCTACAAGGTCAGTTCAGCTTTTCCCACTCCTCCACCCATTCTCTGCAGACACGCAATTTTTTTCTTCAGTGGCTTATCCAGGATGAAGAAAAATTGTGGGGAATGTTGCTGCACCCCACATCCGTAACTGAGCAACAGAGGCTGACAAGGAGCCCTGAAACAAATCATGCCCATGATGGTGACCTCCTGTGCCTCCACACTTGAAAGCAGCTAACGACATTCTGGATGTTCCAGTGTTGCAGATCCAGACGCTGAGCTATAATGTGACCAGCAGCAGTGTGAAATCACAAACCACAAGGTGAAGCGATAATGATGAGTGATGAAAATGGATCATTTTAAAGGAAACCAAAAATATTCAAATTCTACCCAGAATGGAAAAATAGATTTCTGTTCACAACTATAAATGATGAGTGTTTGTTTGCCTTGTATGACACCAAAATATATCAATAATGAGAAAAGAGAATTGGGTACATCACGAAACGATGGATAGTAATTTCAAGGATACTTTTCCCTTGAACAGTTTGCTTCATACAAAGAAAGTTGATGACCTGAGGTGGTTTTGAAAGCTCCACAGTAATATTTATCTAAATTGCCAGCACAAGGTAAGACCTGCACTGAAGCATCAGTTCACATTTACAATCTTCTGGCAAAGCGCACATACACTGTTAGCCAGGAGATTAAGGGAGCTGTGAACTTTATAATTTATACATATGTTTGAATTTGACAGTGAACTTGATCATCCAAACCTTTGCAAATTTATTGGAGGATGTCTTGAAGTTCCAAATGTAGCAATAATAACGGAGTACTGCCCAAAAGGAAGCCTGAATGATGTCCTCCTTAATGAAGACATCCCGTTAAACTGGGGTTTCAGGTAAGAGTTTAGAGCGAAGAATTCGGCTTATAATCCCACTCTCAACCCCAACCCCAGTTATGTCTTAGTTATTAAGTTACTCCCTTGTCTTTTGATCCAGGAATGAAGATCAACCTCCTGTATCTTGTCCATCTCCTCTCATTTCATGCTTGGCTACTTCACCAGGGGACGGATTTCAGACAAATCCACGGTGGTCCTTATTGTTGTCTGCGCGCGTACTCTCTCACACACCACACTCATACGTGCATGTGTAGATATGTGTAGCTACATTTATAGCCACACAATCGCATGTTCAAACATATGCATGCAGAACTCTCTCTCACAAACTGAAACATGCTTAATTATACTCCTAAACATTTACACATACAAACACAGTCACTCACATGCTCAACAGATACTCAAGTATACACAGATACACATACATCTACCCATTATTATTATCTTTAGCCCAGAAATTGGGTTTTTAAAAAGTTGCAATTTCTTTAAAATGTGAAATATGTAATTGTTTTTAAGAATCTTTGAAAAGGACTTTTTTGCATCAGTTGTAAAATGACTAATTATAGTTTTCTTTGACAATGAGATACTGGCCTAGGTAACTCAGCAGCCTTTGACCTGGAAACAGTACCAATGGGAAGAAAGTTCAAGCTAGAAGCCATGTGGCTGTTGCACAGGAAAGCTGTAGACATGAAGGAAACAGAAGAGCTAGATGGTACTATTTCAAAGAATAGTAGGGAGGGCCTGCTCCTTTTGGCCCTGGGCCAACTCTGATTGATGGATTGAAAAATAAATAACACAGACTGAGAAAAATGTATACATTCAACAGTGTGAATTTCATGTCAAATTAGGTACAGAGAACTAAAAGGAGGGAAATTTTTAAAAAAACTATTAAAGATTAGATTAAAAATTGGAATCGAAAAGTAAAAAAGCAAACCTTGAACATTTTTAATGATTTGTTTTTAATCTCCCAACCACAATTAAAACATAAAGAAAAAACTTCCACACTCAATGGGTAAATTGTCAGTGCCAGAGATTCTTTTGGAAGTAATTAACATGTCACGGGTTATTAAAGCATACTTGGACGAACATTTGAACTCCCTGTGGATTTAGTCCATATCTACCATACAAAATTTTGCCAGTCAGTGTACGTCAAAGTGAGGGAGATGACTACTGCGATTCTGTTCTTCTGAAGCTAACAGCAGACTGTCATAATTCAGGCAGAAACTTAGATTTATGTATTTAACTGCACAACTCTCCCCTGCACATAATGCTCAATACCCTCATCTTTGCTTTGACAATAAAACTGGGCCAAAATTGCCAAAGAAACAATAACTGTTTATAAAAACAGTGTCACGAAGATACTGCCCCCATGACTTGAGCTTAATATTGAAGATCCAACAGAACATTAAATGATACAATAGCATTTAATTCTTGTGTGGTGTATTGGTGTGTTGGTTAACCCTTTCTGATTTCACCCCAGATTTTCCTTTGCCACTGACATTGCCAGAGGCATGGCTTATCTTCACCAGCATAAAATCTACCACAGCCGATTAAAATCCACCAATGCAGTGATTGATGACCGTTGGGTTTGCAAACTTACAGGTAAGCAATGGCAATATTTAAAGGCAGGAAACAGTCACCTGGCCAAAATCTGACTCCTTACAATATTCTAATAGTCTCATGATAGAACCATATATCACTGAAGGAGGCCGTTCAGCCCATTGTGTCTGTGTGAGTTCTTGGACAGAGCAGTCCATTAGTTGCATTCACCATGGCCTTTTCACTAATGACTGCAGTATGTTTAATTATCAATATTTATCTAGACCCCTTCACAAGTTAGTATTGAATCTGTGTCCACTGCCATTTCATTCATGGCATTCCAGATCAAAACAACTCATTCTGTAAAACATTTTCGTCATCTTGTCTCTGGGTCATCTTTTCCAATTGCCGTAAACCAGTGTCCTGCTGTCATAAAGTGTTCTATACTTCCCACCAGATTTCTGCTTGGCAATTTACAGAAAGGAGGACTTTGAGGATCCGCCTACAATGTACCAACAGAAGGTGATTCAAGAATATTTACCACCTGAGGCCCAGATGCCAAACTTCGAACCAACTCTTGCTGCAGATGTATACAGGTAACTAGGAGAAAAGAACCAGTTTTTTTTTTAAGCTGTTGCTTCATGGTGTTAGAGTTCTTGCCTCTGAATAAGACAGTTATGTGTTCAAGCCCCACTACACAGACATGAGCATAAAAACCTGGTGTGGAGGGAGTTTGGGTTCATGGAGTGGGGAATGTGTGAGTGGAATGGTGTTTGCGGTCAATAGAGCTTTCTGTCAACAGCTGTCCTTTTTTGGAAAGTCTTATTAAAGAAAGATTTTATCATTCTTACAGCTATGGCATCATTCTGCTAGAAATTGCAACCAGAAGTGACCTTGTACTGGTAAGTTTAACTAATAATATGATGCAGAATCTGGTCCTATTCTTTGATCAAGACCTTGAGATCCCGTACTGTAATTATATTTCCATTTAGAACAAAAGGCCATACAGTCCCTAGAGCCTGTTCTGCTGTTCAGATCATGGCTGATCTTTAATTTGACTCAATCTGTGTGCCTCTATTCTATAACCCTTGATACCCTTTGCCTAAAAATAAATCCATCAATCAGAAGTTTAAAAAGTTCTATTGTCCACCCACATAGCCTCAACAGCTTTTTTTTTTTGGAGTAGGTTCTGCATTTCCACTACCTTTTTGTGTGAATACATGCCCCCTAATATCAACCTGAATGGCCCAAACATACTGCTATAACTGTTGATTCAGAGATAGCAGGAACTGCCGATGCTGGAGAATCTGAGATAACAAGGTGTAGAGCTGGATGAACACAGCGGGCCAAGCAGCATCAGAGGAGCAGGAAAGCTGACGTTTCGGGTCTGGACCCTTCTTCAGAACTGGGGGAGGGGAAGGGGATTCTGAAATAGAGAGAGAGGGGGAGGCAGATGGAAGATGGATAAAGGAGCAGATAGCTGGAGAGGAGACGGACAGGTCAAAGAGGCCGGGGTGAAGCCAGTGGTGGGGAGTTAGGGTGGGGTTGGTCAGTCAAGGGAAGACGGACAGGTCAAGGAGGCAGGGATGAGGCTGGTAGATAGGAGGTGGGGGTGGGGGTGGGGTTTGAGGTGGAAGGAGCGGATAGGTGGGAGAAAAGAGGACAGGTCAAGGAAACGGGGCTGAGCTGGGCTGGTTTTGGGATGAGGCCAGGCGCCAGCTTTCTGACACCTCCTCTTACGGCCCCGTTGATCATGACCCCACCCCCGACCACCAAAACATCATCTCCCAGACCATCCACAACCTTATCACCTCAGATGACCTCCCACCCACAGCCTCCAACCTCATGGTTCCCCAACCTCATCGTTCCCCAACCCCGCACAGCCCGTTTCTATCTCCTTCCCAAATTCCACAAACGTGACTGCCCTGGTCGACCCATTGTCTCCGCCTGCTCCTTCCCCACCAAACTTATCTCCCACTTATCTCAACTCCATTTTCTCCACCCTGGTCCAGCAACTCCCCACCTACGTCCGTGACACCACCCACGTCCTCCACTTCCTCCAAAACTTCCAATTCTCTGGTCCTCAACTCCACATCTTCAACATGGACATCCAGTGCCTATATACTTGCATTCCCCATGCAGATGGCCCAAAGGCCCTCCGCTTCTTCCTGTCCCACAGGCCTGACCAGTCCCCCTCCACAGACACCCTTATCTGCTTAGCTGAACTTGTCCTCACCCTTAACAACTTCTCTTTCAACTCCTCCCACTTCCTACAGACAAAGGTGGTGGCCATGGGTACCTGCATGGGCCCAAGCTATGCCTGCCTCTTTGTAGGATACGTGGAACAGTCCCTCTTCCGAAGCTACACTGGCCCCATCCCCCACCTCTTCCTCCTCTACATCGATGACTGTATCGGCGCCGCCTCGTGCTCCCACAAGGAGCTTGAACAGTTCATCCACTTTACTAACACTTTCCACCCTAACCTTAAGTTCCTGGACCATCTCCGATACCCCTCTCTCCTTCCTGGACCTCTGTTTCCATCTCTGGCAACCACCTGGAAACCAACATCTATTTCAAGCTTACCGACTCCCACAGCTACCTAGAATATACCTCCTCTCACCCACCTTCCTGCAAGAATGCCATCCCCTATTCCCAATTCCTTTGCCTCCGCCGCATCTGCTCCTGAGATGAGGCATTCCACTCCCGGACATCCCAAATATCCTCGTTTTTTTAAGAACCGCAACTTCCCCTCCACAGTGGTCGAAAATGCCCTCGACCGCATCTCTTGTGTTTCCCACAACTCATCCCTCACAGTCCCTCCACGTAATAACAACAAAAAACAGAATCCCCCTCGTCCTCGTGTACCACCCCACCAAGCTCCAGATTCAACACATCATCTTCCGCCGCCTGCAATCTGACCCCACTACCAAGGACATTTTTCCCTCCCCACCCTTATCTGCCTTCCGGAGTGACCGCTCTCTCCGTGACTCCTTTGTCCGCTCCACACTCCCCACTAGCCCCGCCACCCCTGGCACTTTTCCCTGCAACCGCGGGAAGTGCTACACTTCACCCCCCTCACCCCCATTCCAGGCCCCAAGAAAACCTACCACATTAAACAGATGTTCGCCTGCACATCTGCTAATGTGGTATACTGTATCCGCTGTTCCCGATGTGGCCTCCTCTACATCGGGGAAACCAAGCGGAGGCTTGGAGCCCACTTTGTAGAACACCTACGGTCGGTTTGCGGCAAACGACTGCACCTCCCAGTCGCGAACCATTTCAACTCCCCCTCCCATTCCTTGGACGACATGTCCATCCTGGGCCTCCTAGGGTGCCACAACGATGCCACCGGAAGGTTGCAGGAACAACACCTCATGTTTCACTTGGGAACGCTGCTGCCCAATGGTATCAATGTAGACTTCACAAGCTTCAAAATCTCCCCACCCCTGACCTCATCCCAAAACCAGCCCAGCTCGTCCCCGCCTCCCTCACCTGTCCATCTTTTTTCTCCCACCTATCCACTCCTCCCACCTCAACCCCCACCCCCACCTCCTACCTACCAGCCTCATCCCCGCCTCCTTGACCTGTCCGTCTTCCCTTGACTGACGAACCCCCATCCTAACTCTCCACCTACGCTCACCTTTACTGGCTCCATCCCTGCCTCTTTGACCTGTCTGTCTCCTCTCCACCTATCTGCTCCTTTATCCACCTTCCATCCGCCTCCCCCTCTCTCTCTCTCTTTATTTTAGAACCCCCTTCCCCTCCCCCATTTCTGATGAAGGGTCTAGGCCCGAAATGTCAGCCTTCCTGCTCATCTGATGCTGCTTGGCCTGCTGTTCATCCAGCTCTACACCTTGTTATCTCTGCTATAACTATTGTTGTTTTTCTATACGTTTTAGTATTACTAAGTTTACTTTTGAGATTTATTTGGAACCCAAGGCATTGACTTGTGCAGTATGAATACCACATACATTATGTCCCACAATACAAAGCTATTTGCTTGTCTCTCTTCAACAGTGTCTCGTTGGGAATGGTTGAGGAAAGACTGCACTTTCCCCATCACGTGCAATATTTGTTCAGACCTTTTTATATTTAGTTATACAGATTCATTTGGAGTCAATGCAAAGTAGGGTAAATATCTGAAGGAAAAACATTTGAAAGGGTGTGGGGGAAGTGCATGTTGAGCAGGACTATTTTGGATAGCTGTACCACAAAGGACCAACATTGACACAATGGGTCGAATGGCTGGCTTTGTCCTCCATCATTCCCTGTTTTGAGTTACCTACACTTCCTTAGAAACCTGAACACAGTCCATTAGGGACGGAGTGGAATCAGAATTGTGTTTTCTCCTTGTTGCTGTTGTAATTAACTCTTTTAAAGGGAAACCTGGTGTCATGATTTAAATCAAATCTCCATTCTTTATTTGCTGAGGTGCAGTTTTAAAGCCGAAATTTTCTCCACAAATGACACGATGCAGCAAAAAGTGTCAACAGGATTTCGACAAATTCTGTGTGAGAGGTTTAGGCAATCACTTGGGCATGTTGGTGAGAGGAGAAATTTGTTTTTTGTGTAGATGCATAAAATCATACAGAGCAGAAGACAGCTTTAGCCCATTGAGTCTGTACCATCATGGGTTGATGGTTAATATATTGGGATGGAAACGAGTTTGAGTGTGAGATATCTGTGACTTGCTTTTCATCAGAAGTGGCTGGTCTATGAGATTTTTTTTTTAACATAAATCCTTGCTCTTCAGAAAGAAGATGCAAATTCTACCGAATGTAGCCGGTGCCTTCCTTTACCGGAATTAATAAAAGGAAAATCAGAAAATGCCTGTCCTTGCCCTGCTGAATACGTCATGGTAAGAAAGCCAGTTTAAACAACAGAAAAGTTGAGGAATTATGAAATGACTTTGACAGTAGAATGGACTTTTATTTTTTTGACTAATTTCTCCTTTTGCTCCACAGCTGGTTAGGAAATGCCAGACGAAGAATCCGACCAATCGGCCCACATTTGAACAGATCAAGAAGTACCTGCACAAAATTAACCCCAATAAAGTCAGCCCTGTAGACATGATGATGACCCTGGTATTGATAGAGAATTGGAAATTGAATTTGTTATTTTACACAATGTAAACATGATTATATACAAGTACCTTCCCAATTGTGGCATCAACATTAAAAGTTAACTGTTATATACAGTACATTTATTGCAAAATTCTATGCAAAAAAACAGAAAAGGCCATTTGGCCAAATTGATCCATGCTGTTGTTCATGCTCCACACTGGTGTCCTCCTGCCTCTTTACCTTACTCTGTTCTTCTATTTCTTTCTCCCTCATGTTCTTAGCTATTATCCCCTCAAATGTATCTGATAAACTCACCAGAACCACTTTCTTCTGTGGTGGCAAGTTCCACGTTTTCACCAGTCCCTGGATGAAGAAGTTTTTCTGAGATTCCTTTAATGGCTTTAAGTTAGTCTGTTACCTTGTCTTTTTGTTGTTTCATAATTCCAAACTTCTCTTCAAGATAAGATAAGGTCAGTCCAGCCAAAGCATGCTGTGTTGTAACTTGACTAATTGACCAAGAATTGTATCTAAGCATCATGGAAGAACAGACTGGAGAAGTTGGCGTCATTTTCCCTAGAATGGATTGAGAAGACATTTAGTAGGGTGTTCACAATTGGGAAGAGTTTAGACAGATTAGTGAGAGAGAAATGGTATCATCTGGGAAAAGGATCAAAACCAGGGAATACAAGTCGTCAGGGGAACCAATGAGGAAAAAGCATTTTTTACATAGCAGGTTGTAATGGTTTGGAACATGCTGCCTTTAAAGGATGGTGGAAGCAAATTCAGCAGTAAATTTGTAAAGGCAAAGTACTAGAAAACAATAAAAATTGCAGGCCTGTGAGGAAATGAACACTGGAGGGAGACTATTTGTTTTCTACTTCCAAAGGGCATAGTCACAATAAACCAAAATAGCCGTCTTCTGTGCTGCTTGTTTCTGTGGACCTGCTTATGATCTGCTTCTTCCTGGGTAACGTGCAGTAGCATACCCCCTCTTCTACTTTTGAAGCACATCAAAAATATATGCATGAAACAATTAAATCCCTTAACTATTGATTGTCCACCTTCAATCAAAACTTAGCCACTGAAATTGGACTTGTTGCAAGTTGTGAACGTTTGCTCTCATGGATAAAATAAAATTTACTCCTCATTTGCTGGCTTGGTTTTCCAAGAGAAGGAGCAGGAAAGCAAGCTCTCTCTTGCAACAAAGGCTCCCTTTTGGAAGGTGGTCCAAAAAAAGGCATACACAGCCTCGAGGAGAATATGGGTGAGGTTCTGATACAGGGTGGATAGACCCTCAACCACTGGGTGCATGGGGATGTGTGTTGGTCGATCACGTTTGCTAGTAAGTGCAGAGGGGTACAGCAAGGGTCTCTGTCCTGTGTGGCAAGGTCTCCAGTCCCATGTGGCTGTGGAAACTCTGACGGTAAGAATGTGGGCCTCTGGCCTTCCAGTGGGCAATAGATGTGGTCCTTCCCAGTAAGTACACCCTGCCAACAGCAGGGTCTGTGGCAGTAAATGGTTCTATTCGTAGTTGTCATCTTGGCACTGCCACATTCAATGGTACCAGAACAGACAGACATTGGCACAAGCAGATCTGCAAAACGAATATAGAATGACTACAAACATAGTTCCAAATTTGGAACTAACTAGAGATCACCATAGAATTCAGGTTAGAAATGTTCCCTTACTTACTTCACTTACTGTCATGAAAGAGAGAAGTTGACGCTCATTCTGGTTCTGTCACACTGTTGGCCTGATCATAATTGATTTATGTCTGTGTTAAGATGGAGAAATACAGCAAACACCTGGAAACACTGGTAGCTGAAAGAACACAAGACCTGGTTCACGAGAAACAGAAGACGGATCGTTTGCTATACAGTAAGTCCTGAGGCTGCAACACCTTCTTAAAATTTCAATCACATTCCAACTGTTTAATAGAACAATGAAATCACAATTAATCATAAACAAAAATCTGCCTGTTATGTATTGCTCTGGGCAAAACTGATAAAAGGCAATCCTGGGATGTATTGTCACATGTATTAGATAATGGGTTAAGTGAACAAGTAATCGTAATTAAAGCAGTCTTCTGGCAGAAGCAATTGAGAGTTGAATCATGACTTGTTCAGGGGGTGTCATGTGTCCATTGCCCATGGAGCATGCTTTGAGATTTTGGTGACTGAAGAAGGTCTGGGGGAACAAGCAGTGAGTTAGTCGCCAATTTACTGCTCTGACTTTCAGTTTAGGAATTGTCACCATCTTATCTCTATGTGGCAGATGGAGAAGGGGAAACTGCATATTAATGAGGTGATCTGACATATTGAGGATCTTAATGCATTCAGATGAGCCCCTTGCTAGGGAAAATCTTGCCCCTATGTTCAATACTTTGGAAAATGAGGGATTTTTGCTCTCAATGGCAGAAAGCTTCTCACTGCCAATCTCTCTCCATTCTCCCATCCTTCTTACTATTGTCCATTTTGTTCTGGAGGTCATCCCCCTTGTTTTAAACTGAGCAATGATCATGGGTCAAAATTGTAGTCTTTATCTTGTATATGAGTCATGTATTGTGAATGCTTATTGACTGGAGTGTAGCACTATAACAGTGTGAAATATGCAACCTGTTTTCTTGCGTTCTGCATGTCGACTTGTACAATTTGTCTAAAAACCTACGCATATCTTAAGATTTGAATGGTGATTTGAAGACACCATGCTAAATTATTTTAAATGAAGAGAATTTGTGCTTGGCAAATCAGTTGTTATCCCCTGACCATATTTAGACCAACACCAGAAGAGAACATGACTTTACATTTACATTTTGTCTGTCGCTTAAGATATTGTCTCTCTTTTTAGGTATGCTGCCAAAACAGGTAGCTGATGACCTAAGACAAGGAATCACTGCTCAAGCTCAGAACTATGCTAGTGCAACAATATTCTTCAGGCAAGTACAACAGGGACTGTTATTTATTTTTTAATTTTAATGAAATAATATCTCCCAAGGCACTTCACAGGAGCATTTCTCTTAAAAAATTAAGATACCAAACCACATAAGATGATGTTAGTGGAGGTGGCCAAGAAATGGGTTTTAAATATCTTAAAGGAGGATTTTGAGAGAGGCAGAGAATACAGGGAGGAAATTCCAGCTGTTAGGGCCCAGGCAGCTAAAAGTCAGCCATCAACACTGGCGTGATTAAAATTGGAAATCAGAAGTAGATGTGCAGGAACATCATGACAAGATTGTCAGAAGGTGAGTGCAAGCTTTTAACATTTATTGCCTAAAAACTATACACAAAGGTGGTGGGATAACAAGGTGTAGAGCTGGATGAACGCAGCAGGCCAAGCAGCATCAGAGGAGCAGGAAAGCTGAGAAAGCTGAAAGGTGGTGGAGCAGGATTCCACCTAGTGCTGCCTTCCACCAGCTCTCGGTCGTAAATTCTGACAACATGATAAAATTAGTTCCTTACATATGTACTCGAGTATTGGTATAGTCAGTCCTTTACTTCAGATCTCCCTGTAACATGATACTTTGCACAAATTGTTAAGCTCATGAGCTATTCACATTTTTCAGCTTTCCCACTCATCATGCCTCACCAAATCCCTCAGAGAACATGGAACAGAAACAGAAGTTGTTGGAAAAGCTCAGCAGGTCTGAGGAAGGGTCACCGGACCTGAAATGTTAACTCTGACTTTTTTCTTCAGAGATGCTGCCAGACCTGCTGAGCTTTTCCAGCAACTTCTGTTTCTGTTCCTGACTTACAGCATCCACAGTTCTTTTGGTTTTTATTCCCTCAGAGGACATGTAGGACATTGTATGCTCCCTTACTGTCTCCTGTTAATGCAAACACACTGACAGAATGGGTTAGCAGCTTATCTCAGTGGGTGGCACCTGGCTGTGACACTTACAATGACCTGGATGCAACAGCAGTGAAGACCAACAAAGGAAAAACTGATTCAAAAGACACCCTTGTGGCACCTGAACATCACAATCCCATGAAGAGAAAGATAAATTCTCATTCACCTCTTCTTCTACATTGCACAATGGAGAAGATGGGAAAGTATTGGCTTGGTAAAATGAAGCACCTTTATCTCCTATGAAGAACCTCTGAGCTGTGCCACTGCTTCTGCAAAGGTGAGAAAATCATTTCACACCTTCTCCAGGAATGAATCCGGTAGATGAAAACAGGAGTAAAGCACATACTGAAGATGAGGACAAAAAATTGATGATTTCTCTTTGATCTGTAGGGTAAGAAGTTCTCTTTCTGTATGGAGCGGTATTAGTGCCTCATCCTTTTTTTTTTATCCTGAAGCTACTCCTCTGCAGACAATGACATCTTGGGAATTCCAGCAGAAAAGCAGAATGCACCATCAATGATAGAATAAACTTGAAGATTCAAGGAAATTAGACCTTTTGAGCAATTGCATGAGAATCAGTATCTGTGGAGTGTTCTAATCTGTAAACTTTAATGTTCAATGTTAGCATCTGGCATTTTCTCTACAAGAGTTATATTAGTTATGGGAAGGGCAGCTTCAAATATTTTTGTCCTGTGGTCAGTACTCCCACATGATTACCCTCAAGACATGGTTGGCATTTAGATAGTCATCTCATGCAGTGTGTTCACTTCCACTGACTGAACCATTTCTAGTGTGTGGTTCCCTGTCTGTGGTTTGGTGCTATGTGATTGCTAAAGTCTGGGATTGTAATTCAGCGGTCTCTGTTAGCTAGTTAGCCTTCTTCAACTCTTGCTTAATTTTAAAATTTTCAAGATCCACTGACTTTCAGCTTTAAGCTGGTCTACGTTGGAAGCTCTGTAGTTTGAACCTCTGTTTCTTTTTTTAAAAGATAACTTGAATACGCCCATGAATCGTTGATGTGTTTCAGTCACAGACTCTGGCTTGCACTTTATATGTATTAATATATATGAATATTCAAATATTAGTTTGGTCTAATTTGGATTTAAGCATCTCATTCTCTCTGAATTATATTTCACTGGCTGTTTGCAGTTTTGAACTAGCTCCTAGTGTGCTGTTTCGGAGGTTTAAAACTTTGCTCTGAATCTATCAAGCACATCTTGATGTTCTTTGCTTATTGTTGGAGGTTTCTCTCTCATACAGTTGATTCCTGCAGATACAGCTGAGGTACTATCCATATTACCTGAACCGTCAAGGCTCTCAAACATTTCTACTTGCAAGACTGAAGATTCCTTTCTCACTCCAGAATCCAAGATTTCTCAGATTCTGTGGCCACCTTTCTGCCTGTAGAAATGTTTTAGGCTTCACTGATTTTATAGGAAATGTTGAAACATTAAAAACCAGAAGTAGGAGTAGGGATGTGAACATAGGAGGTATGGTTAGTAAGTTTGCAGGTGACACCAAAATTGGAGGTGTAGTGGACAGCGAACGGGATCTTGATCAGATAGGCCAATGGACCAAGGAGTGGCAGATGGAGATTTAGGTGAATGTGAAGTGTTGCATTTTGGAAGGCAGGACTTATACACTTAATGGGGAGTGTTGCTGAGCAAACAGACCTTTGGTGTGCAGGTTCATATTTCCTTGAATGTGGAGTCACAGGTAGATAGGATAGTGAAGAAGGTGTTTGGTATGCTTGCCTTTATTGGTCAGTGCATTGAGTATAGGAATTGGGAGATAATGTTGCAGCTGTACAGGACATTAGTTTGGCCACTTTTGGAGTTTAGAGTGCAATTCTGCTCTCCCTTTTAATAGGAAGGATGTTGTGAAACTTGAAATGGTTCAGAAAAAATTTACAAGGATGTTACCAGAGTTGGAGGGTTTCAACTATAGGAAGAGGCTGAATAGGCTGGGGCTATTTTACCTGGAGCATCGGAGGCTGAGGGGTGACCTTTATGGAGGTTTATAAAATCATGAGGGGCATAGATAGGGTGAATAGCCAAGGTCTTTTCCCCAGGGTGGGAAAGTCCAAAACTAGAGGGCATAGGTTTAAGGTGAGAGGGGAAAGATTTAAAAGGGACCTGAGGGGCAACTTTTTCACACACAGCATGGTGCATGTATGGAGCGAGCTGCCAGAGGAAGTGGAGGTTGGTATGATTACAACATTTAAAAGGCATCTGGATGGATACGTGAATAGGAAGGGTTTAGAGGGATATGGGCAAATGCTAGCAAATGGGACTAGATTTATATAGGATATCTGGTCAGCATGCTCAAGTTGGACTGAAGGGTCTGTTTCCGTGCTGTATATCTCTGACTCTATTTGGCCCTTCATACTTGCTCTGCCATCTACTATTCATTTTTGATTGATCTATTTTAAGATTATTTTCAGCTGCTTTCACTTTAAGTATTGCAGCTTCTACAGTATGAATCCTCTCATTGTACATACAACACTGGCAGGTCCTCCATATTCAATCTGATTTTGAGGGCTCATCCATTTCTAGCAATGCTTAATGTGACTAATGGCAGCTGAGATTCAGGATTTTGGTCTCCCTCTCCTTCTCTGTCGTGGCCAGGTCTTCTTCACAGGAATGAATCTCGTTGCCTGCTCGTAGTTGCTGCTGTTGATGTTGCAGGACATTGGCTTCAGTATAGAATAAGCAGACCAGTTGACCTCATCATTACTTTTTCCAACATAAAAAGACTGTATCTCCTTAAAAGAGAAAAGCCCACTTCAACACCATTTTCATCAAAGGGTATAGGTTGACCTAGGACCACTTGTTCCAAAAAAAAAATTTCCAACACTGTTAGTTTCATCCTCTTCCACTGTTCTCTGAAAGAGCAAACTAAGGTCCAGATATTGTCTTCCAGCTGGTCACTTGTTTTCCCACTGTCTCTCTAGCATCTCCTTCAAGAGAAATGAGAGGCCTTCCAGTGTCCTAGGCATCAGGCCTCTTCAGTGGAGACTCACTCTTGCTGCACAGAGTTAACTTCAGTTTCTCCTGCAACAGCTAAACGTAGAAGATTCAAATCCACACAAGCATCTTTGCTTAATAAAGAAGAGTGGTGATCAGGAATGGCAAACAAAGTATTAGTGATCTCTACTATATTGAAACATAGGTTGCACTGGGCCTCCCACACTACTTTTAATATCTCCCCACCCTGAAGTTGAGTGAAGGACAGTCTGAGAAATCCAGGCTCCAACTACAACACAGAATCTGAAAGAATAAATTTGCTTGCTCCAGTGTACGATTTAAAATTAGTTGTCCTGCTATTAACCATGATACTCCACATGATTTGATCCACGACTTCCCTCAGGAAGAAAGAATCTTGTTTTTCAGTATTCTCTATTTCTTGGAAAGCTGTCAACTGGATAGTCCTTCTCCCCATCCCCAGCAGTGGCCCAATTTGCTGGGCTGGCCTTGAAGTTCTGTCACTGCTCTCCATTGTTGCTAGGCTTCTCTTTGTTCTTGGTGTTCCAGTTGCTGGGCTAGCATTGTGGTCCTTCACCATCCATTCTCTGCTGCTGGTGGTCTTCTCTTCAAACATTTTTGCTTCTTGCCACCATTTTTTTGTGTGTGCTCACTGCTTACCACCTTTTAGGTACATCATTAGGAGCTCAGGATGTATGAAGTTAGAACATAAACATATTGCAAACTGTTAACTGCCTAAAAACTAACTACATATGCATGGTAGAGCAGGGTTAGGGTTAAGCAACAAGTGCTTTCCCCCATCTGACATCATGATGGCATAGTTCCTTTATGCACATTCTCAGTTGCTATTGTCAGACTGATGGTACAATTAACACTTCTCATTAGAAGGTGAGTGCACATTTCTGCAGCTCTACATCAAACAGATATTTCAGAGATTGCTAGGAGGAATTTGCAAGCAAGACACTGCTTGACTGAGTCAGTGAGCACAAGGTGACTGGTAAATGGGACTTGGTGTGTCTAAGGACATGGGCAACAGGGTTTGAATGAGAGATAGTAGGAACTGCAGATGCTGGAGAATCTGAGATAACAGGGTGTAGAGCTGGAT